GACACTTATGCTGAAATGCATGAGCAGCCTTTGTCCTTCAAAAAATATTTTTAATTTGCTTTTGGAGGGCTATGTTCTTTTCCTCCATGAAACTCCTTTTCTGCTGGGTACTGTTTTGTATCTCATCTATAGGGGAGCACAACCTACAATAGAGGCTTCTGGCAGAGAAAAAAGACTAACGTCTTCAAACAGCAGCTACCACATGGCAATATTGCTCTCAGAGAGGCGTACTGTGCGCATGTTCAGTGCCAGTTAGGTTATAAAGCCTCCCATGAGAGGTGAATTAACTCCTCTCTTTCATATTTCACATGAAGCCAACTGCCTTTGTCCTCCTTCCTCGTGGCCCTTTGATGTGCTGGAGGGGAAGCAAGGTCAAGAGGGTTGTACAAGCAAGTTTCTTCTTTCCCAGATTCTCCTTGTGTGCAAAAGTGGGGTACTCAGTACTTCCCCTGCCCTTTTGTGAATAGGGTCATAGGTGGAAAAAAATCACCTTTATGTAAGTATATGAACATATACCCACTCCCAACTAGATAAACATACCTACACGGAATCACTGCACACTATGTGGTAGCATATGTGTTAACATTGGGCCACGTTACTTTTCCCCAAATTTCCTGTTCTTGAGTCAACTCATTATTTGAAACAACCAAGTTTCCTTTACAGTTGCAGAGGAAAACTTGAAAATAGGAACGTGTGTTCCTCTCACACTGTCCCTATGCCATTGTTTGCCATATCCCCTGCTCTTGTCAGGAGCCCTTTGTATGTATCTTCGGCTTTCCCCAGCCCGCAGTTCTCCTTGTGTCAGAATCCCCCATTCTCTCCTTTCTGCCAGGGTGCTGTCCCCCATCTATGCTTTACTTTTCCCTTCCCCCCCCGTGACAGAACCTCTGTGTACACCTCCCATTATTCCCATCATTTTCATTTTTCGTTCTTGGGAGAAAGTCTTTCAGGATATCAACATCTTTGAAGTGTTGGGAGAATTGGCAGAGCTGAGATGAGGGGGTATGCTGTCATGTTAGAAATTGTTAAAGGGTGATTCTTTGATCTGTGCTAGAGATGGATGGCTCTGGTACACAGATGGGCTCCACATGTTTGTCATTTCCCTTTTCTAGTTTTTCCAAATGTCAACCAAAATAAAGACAGTTCTGTACAGTGATATCTAGAATATTCTCTGAAATATTTAAATTGATGAGATGCTACCATTCAATTGCATTACAGATAACACAAAAGCAGATAAAGAAAGAAATGCTAAGGTTGAGTATCAGGTTTCTTTTTGCGTGGCCAAAAATAAACTTAAATGTATTTTTCTTTTAATTTCATCATTTCAAGCTGATCTTATTGTGTTTTTTTAGGACTAGCCAGTGGTTTTTGAAGACTTGGAAATGCCAGTTCTGTATCTCTTAAATACCTTGGCCACTTTCACTTGCGCTCTGTTCCCCAATACATCGCCCGCATGGCAGAGTTCTAACATTCCAAATCCGTGGGCAGCTCCAAATAGCTGACGTTCAAATAAAACCAGCCTTCTACCATTTTCTTTCCTTTCTTAATTCCCAAATTTGGGATTCTTTCCTCACTTCTTGCTTTCTGCCTTAAAAAAGATGCTATCCAAAATTAGCTATATTTTTTAAAGTCTCGGATCAATTCATATGATACCTCACAATTTTTTGCAAAATGACATAACCAATTTCTAACATCTGAGAAAGGAGACCTTACTCCTTCAGTGAAACACAAAAAAAGAGGTCTAGCCCTGGCAGGATGCAAGGTAATGAAAGTAAAACTAGTTAATGTTATGTATAGACAAGCAGTTCTAGAAGATCCTTGTGATCCCTCCCAACCTTTCGATACTATGACTATAGTTTACTTGTAAAGGTTTTTTAACTATATTAGCTGTACGTTTTCCTCAAAGAACCTGTTGGACTCATGGTAACTAGTCTGATTATAGTGGGTCAGAGGAAAAAAGTAGCATTAATAGATATTTTAAAAACTCTTAATATGTTACACATGCAGTATACAAGAGTCTGTTATCAAGATTTTACTGATGTTCTAGTATTAGCTTGAGAAGATCTGCAAAATATACTCATTGTTTTAGTATCTTCAAAGCATTAGCGCTTTTCAAATTCAAAGAATTGCTTCAAATCCCCAAACATTTCAAGTTAATGCATATGCATATTTCTTTTTTGTATGTGTAACTGTGCTTGTCTCCACGGTTTGGTCACTTCCTTAGAAAGTTTAATGCCAGGGTTGACACAGGCCAACATAAACTGGAAGCTTTTAAAGAACAAGGTGGTTATGAGAGCGACAAGAGGGGAAGATTTTTAGAGAATGTTTTCAAAATGCTTTTCTTGGTGTGCATTTTTTACATTCAGCCATGGGAGTGAAACAGAGTAAGAGGGGAGAGAGGTTTGTAAATGGCTCAAAATCTTAACATTTTTGCTAAGCTTTCAAGTAAATTTTACATTGTGCCAAGGTTGTAATTTTCCTTTTTTTCCCCCCTCCTGTATAGCTCTTCCTCATTTTACCACATAAAAATGAGAGGCAAAAAAGTTAATGTCATACTCCCAACTCACCTCCTGATGAACCTGTGTTCCACGTGATAACAGAAAACTTCATATGTGGGATTACTATCAACTACACCAGACTGTACGTTGGGAAAACTAGACGCACCCTCCAGCAAAAAATTATAGAACATTAAAGTACTAGTATCAGTTATTAGGCATATTAAATCTTGTTTTGTTGGCAGCACACAGTAGGATTTAGTTAGTGTTTAATTATTTCAGTTTGCATCTTCTCTCAACAATAGGAAATATAAGGAAGCATTGAAAATCAGCAGAGACTTAGGCATACTTTTTATTAGAGAAGAGGATGTCATTATTATGCTGGCTGAGCCTTGGAATGTAGTGTTACTGGTTTGTGACCCAAAAAGAAAAAAAAAAGATCATGTACTGAACATGACTCTGACTGCTGTAAATTTTAAAAGCTCTTCCTTAGAGTAGTTTTTCAGGCCTAGTTTAATACATCTGGCTAGTCACCACAGTGTGAGTTCTTTTATTTCCCAAAGAGAAACAAGGGTGAAAATGCAGACATTTTCGATTTAACATCCGGGAATAAATTTAAGCTCTTTTTATTCTTTATTATTATTTTGACTTTTGCAAAAGTGTTATTGTACTCTTAAAAGCTGTTTTACAAGCTTTTCTGGATGACACATATGTATGCATTGGGAACCCAGCTCTAAATGTACTAGAAAAAACAATGCTTTGGGACATAAAGGTATAAAGAAAATTACAAAGCCTTTTACTCTAACCTTATAAAAGGATCTATAACCTAGTTACTAATGACACCAAAAACTCTCAGACAAGATGATGATATTTTTATTCAAATATACATTTTGAATATATAATGAACAGTCCTTGCAAAGGTGTATAAAGAAATTTCCACTAAATCATTGCCAGTTGAAATTAAAGGCCAGAAGTTAACTATAATACTGATATTTGCAAGTAAGCATGATTCATGTTACAGAGAATTAAGTATTTGTATCAAGAGACCATGGCCTAATAATTGCTGCCATGAAACTTTTTATGTTGGAAAGCGAAGTGTTGTCAGTGAGCTATATGTGCAATAAAAGTTTATGTAAAGGTTTTCTGAGACTAAAATATGCAAAGTTTGAGCCTGAATTTTTGAAACACCATGACAAAAAAATCTAGCTATTTGTACAATTTTGTAAATCATTTTTAATATAATAATTCTGACTTACTAATGCATATCTAGAATTTTTTTTATTAAGTGCTGGGCAAATTTGTAAAAAGCAATAGTGAGAGATTGCTTGGCCTTTCCATTAACTTATAATAAAGGGGGAGGTTTTTAAAAATGCCTCCAAGATATAAGAACTCAAGTCATTTCTAAAATGTTTCCCCTAAAATTTTTAATAAATATAAGGAGCATGGGCAGCATTAAGGACTAACAGAAATCTGCACATGTTGTCACCATCTTAACTGTATCATTGTCTGGAAGCACTGAAAACACAAACAATGCACATTCAGTTGTTGCACAATATTTTTATTTGCAACTAATTAGTGCACTGTTTGCTTTAAGTGAAAAAAAGTATTTGTGCTGGACTTGATTATTTCAACAGCTCACATACCTTGTCATAACTATATGCTGAACTTTTAGATTTCTACTTTTCTGCTTGTAATGTAGCCAAAATTTTTTCATCTAACCTGTTGCCATTGCCATAGCCAAATTAATGAGGAAATCAGGATGAAGAGAAAATAGTAACACAACTGCTCTCCATAAAACAACCTAACTCTTTCACCAGACCACACAGAGGTTCCTTTAGAGACTAAACAAATCCAGTGATCCATGGAGGTGTTTGTCATAGCCCTCAGAAACTAAGGAGAGAATGGCTGTCACCTCCATTATATAAAATATAAGAAAGTAAAACATGCATTATGTAGCAATCTAGAGAAGAAAACATTGATCTAGAATTCAGCAGACTTTGCGTTTGTTAAATAAAGCCAAGTGCAAACAACCACAAAATATACTCATAGTCAGTTGGTTCTTTTTGTCCTTACATTTTGAAGTGAATGTGTTGCTGTACCACAAATTTTTATCAAGAATGTTTCAAGATTATTACTGCCCAGAGACAAAAATGGCAATAAGCATCAGAACTATAAAAATGAAATAGTATTATTAGCCACAGAACTTTTCCTAGAAAAAGATACTTTGTTCAAATAACATTCTTTGATTCATTGACAAAAGACCTTAATCTTAGGGGATGGGACCTAGAAATACCAGTGTGAACTTGGTGAGCAGAAAAGGAGGAAATCTAGAAGAAGAGTTTGTCAACTACATCTTTGGATTTAAGGCTTTGATTCATCAAGATACTAACATATGTTCCTAACACATACCTATCTAATAGGATCATTTCCTCCCTTACAGTTAGGATGCCACACAGAAAATTTCCCCTATAAGTCATTGACTTACAACAGTATGAATTATTTTACCTGTAATAAACTCGCAGAGTCTGGATTTCTTCTTCTAGTTTTTGACACTGGTGAACAGCAGCCTCTCTCTCTTGCTGCAGAGTTGCCAACTTCACCTGAAAACAGATAATTGGTAATTATTTTAGAGAAACCTACTGTAGTCTTTTCAACACAATACAGCAAACGTTGAGTGTCAATTTCAGCTGTATTGAATGTTGTATTATATATAAATTTTACTATTTTGTAACATTGTTCATTTGGTCTTTCAGTAAGACTTTATTTATTTATTCTACTAGTCTAATAGTGTGAAAATAGCATAATCTTTCACTGGATAGTGTTCTAAATATGATCCCTCAAATTCTCTAAAAAACAGTTCTCATCATTCATTTCTTCTTCATTTTATCTTGCTGTTTGTCAACAAACACATTCACATGACATTCAAGGTGATTAACCTTGAACCAAAGTACCAATTTAGAGTGGTAAACATGGGCATTGACCATGCAGTGCTATGGCCTCAGAGAAGATTGGGAGAAATAAATACTCGCATAGGTTTAATGTGGTTCCACAGCTTAATCACCAAGAATTTTAAAAATCCAGTTCTAATAGTGATAGAGAACTCTCAGGAGTATCCAGTGTTCATACAATTTATTTAATAAATCACAGGAGGATTAGCTGATTTAACCAGAAATCAGACTGAGCTTGCACTTCATATCCATATCATTTCAATTTTTTTTCTTGCATTGTACAGTGATCAGCTCTTGCAGGTCAATCAAATGCACAACATATAGGACACAAAACCAAAAATACTTGTGCAGCTATCTAATGTATTAGATGTGAATTCTGCCACTGGTGGCACCTACCACATTTTTCATACTACAAAAAAGCTTCTCAATGAATTCAAGACTTGATACATGAGAAGAATAAAACATGTTATTATTTTAATATTTAGAAGGGCCCCCTTAGCTTTAAAGTAAATAGAAAAAGGCAACGCAGCATGACTCCTTAGGCTAGGGACAGCAGTTACACATAAACCGGTTTAAGTGATCAGAAACTGGTTTAAACCTGTAACAAAATAGAAGTTCAGTGCACCTAAATCAGTTTCAAAATGGCTGAAACTGGTTTAAGATAAACCTGGTTAAATGTAGTCAGACTTAACTGATTTGGGTCAAACTGGTTTATGAAACTTCTGTCCCTGACCCCTTCCTGGTTCAAGTTAAATCAGAGTCCCCAGCTTGCTTTCCAGCCCTGGGCTTGGCTATGCTGTCTCTTCCAGCAGAAAAGGGTTGGGGGGCAGGAGGAAGGGACTGCCCCCAACCCCCAACACACACCAGGCAAACCCCAGCTGGGGTTTGGGGCCAGGGAGGTGGGTTAAACCTGCTTTCCCCTGGGTACAGAGCTGCCCTCCTGCTAAACTTACTGAAACTTACTACTGGCTGTGACTGTGGACTACAAATCCCAGAGGCACCTGGAAGCAGGAAGAGGAAGTGATGAGCAGCCCTAGAGAGTCCTGCTGCTCTGATTCTGGACTGCAAATCCCTGAAACCTTGGGGGCAGCAGGAAGAGGAAGTGAACATACTGCCAATGCTGGCTATGTGCCGAAGAGCCATGCTCTAGCGCCCCTCCCCCTGCTTCTGGCCTGAGCCACTGCAGGCATGTGGCTGCATTTCCTGAATCAAAAGTAAATGTGTGTTCAGGTGTTTCTCAGTTTAATTTCTGCAGTTTAGACTAACCTGCAAAGACTGACTCAATTCAGTCTCCCACTGTTTGACTGTTTGTACTTAGCCTTATAGACTAAATTGCTTAACTTCAGAATAATGTGGCTAACTACCTCTCCCTAAAGTAAATGGTGTTAATCTCTCAATTACAATACTTTATAGCTAAAAGGCAATGTACTTGGAACTGGAAATCTGTAACTCCTGGCAATAAGAGGTTAAAATATTCTGCAAGCAAGCCATTTAGGTCCTGAGCCTGGTGCTGCGTATAGCTTTGCAAACAGAATTCACAGAACATAAGAATGTTAGCCAAACCAGGCTATTTTCTATAATTATATTGTACTATAGGTGAAACAACATTCTTAAAAATTGGAAAAACATGCTTGAATCAAAGTAGGTGGTTTGTTCTACAGGCCAATAATTAACATCCTTGCCAATTTTCAGTGTACTGTGAAGTGCGATTGAAATGGTAGACTGGAAGGAAATGTTTGCAGCAGACACACCTACTCTCAGAGAGATTAACGGCTAGTCTCTTTAAAGAAGTATCACAAAAATACCCCTAGCATTCAACTCGCATTTTTCAGGATAAAGGTCAGAAGACATTGAGGCCTGAGACTCTTACTTATGCCAGTTTGTACTGGAATAACTCCACTGATTTCCCTGGGGCATTACCTGTCTTACTCTACAGAAAATGAGAGGAGAATCAGGCTTGTTAGATTCAATATTCTCAACCACAACAAAAACAGAAAAATAATAAGCATGTTGCTAATCTCCTAGCTGTGCATGCATTTCATTTGGATAGACATTGGGCAACAGGGAGAAAGTAAGAAAAAAATACCAGACTGGGATTTTATCTGTGGTATGTCACCATCAGTGTCAGAAGTGCTAGATAAGAAGCCTGCTGTAGTTTAAAAAAACTGAAAGACTTTTAATATATAGTAAATAATTTTATAACATTTTCTATTGAGTTATGAACAAATCCCCAGAGAACTCATGACTAACAATAACTACAGCTATTGGGGATTTTTTTTACAAGATTTTGTTTTCCTTGGCAAATGCTGGTTTGTGGGAAACAAACCTTTTTACAATAATACCAGTTTTGATTAATCAGTGGAGGTGGCTCTTAGGTGTATGAGGGAGAGATTCTAAGAGTCTCATTTCTGTTTGAAGAATTAATACAAATGTTGACATTTCAAAGTTTTTCACAAAACAATATATTTCTCTTCCAACCAGCTCTAAAAAACAATGGAAAAGGCAGTTTACATTGTAATAGAACAGTTGCACTTAAAAATCTGAATTTAACTTAATCCTCACATACTGGGATTAAAGTAGTTACAACTTTAATAAGGAAACTTAGATAGTGACTTTTCTGCTGTTACGTTTGTTTCAAGATATTTAAGAACATACTGCTGCATGTCTTTCTAATCCCACAGGTTAGAAAAATACAAGAGTTCTAACAAAGGAATACAAAGAGTTAAACAAGCATTTATCCTTTACTAATTACTATGAGGCCAATCCTGATCGCTCTCAACTGCAATCAAAGTCAATGGAAGGTAAGAATATAGAGCATCTTACAAGTTTGGGCTCGAGAACGTAAAATATGACTTTCCATTTTGTTTAAATGCTGTTTTTAAGAATTAAGAAGGGGGGAAACATTCCATGAGCTAGTATAGTACTGATGGTTGGGCAACAGAGGTGTGTACTGAACTCCTTCAGCACCCTGGGCTGAGGGAGGTGGGGGATTATCCCAAACACCAGAGAGCAGAGGAAGTGGGGGAATGGAGAGTGGAGTCTTACCTGCCCCTACTCTCCGTACTCTGGTAGCAACTACTACTGATGCAGCTCTTACTGTAGCAGCATGGGCTTAGGCTATTGCAGCTTGGGGACAGACTCGTCACAAACCAGCTGCGGCAGCACCATGGTGCAGGCTCCCTGAATGCTGCTGTGGTGACTCATTCACTCCCTCTTCTCCAATATACTACTGAACGCAAGGCTGTGCCTACCTGGCTTTTTATGCCCAGATGGTGCAGAGGTGTACCTCCTGTGGCAGACTCTCAGGGTGGCAGAGGAATGCCATTCTGGTGCTTCCTCTGAGTTAGTGCCCAGAGCTGATGCTTTGCTTGCCCATTCCAGTTATGCTACTGTTTAGAAAGCTGCACCCAGAAAATTCCACAAGTGTCCCTGACAAAGGTGTACTGACAAAGGATGTGGCGTACACAGGGACACAGGATGGATTCAGAGAGCGCCTTTTTAGACCTTACACTGTAAGCTGAATAAATGTTAATCGGCTTAGTGTTGTTTGGCTTAATGAAGCAGTCACACAGAAGAATGCAAAACCTGCTCTGACTGTCCTTCATCTGCACAGCTGAGGCTTACCACTAGAGGCTTGGTGAGCAGGGGCAGAACTAGAGGCAGGATGCACTTGCTGCTTCCATAGGGCCGAGAGCAGGCCCACCACTGTCTCCATGGGCGACTGGTGCCTCCTGAGTTGGGGGGGGGGAGCACGTGCCTCCCCAGTGACCAGTCAACAACTGGGGGGGAGTCCCCCCATGATCTCACCGACTGGGGATGGGTCCCCCGCAATCAATCATGCCAACCCGGAAGCCCAGAAGTCCCAGCGGCACTCCTCCTGCCTGGCCCCCCTGCCGGTCACCTAAGTGGGGAGCGCTCGCTGTCAGGGGGTGCACCGGCACTTTCAGGGGGTGCACGTGCACCCCCATGCACCCCCTACATATTGCCCCTGACTGTGTCAATGGCAGTGAGACCAGAGACTCTCTGGGACACTCTGATTTCACTGAAACCAACACAGCAGCTCTGCACTCCCAGAGGACAGCAAGTTGCCCGGCTCCCAGCACGTGTTAGGGGAAGTGAAAGGAGTTTTTCTCCCCAAGGTTGCTGCTCTCTGGGAGACCCAGGCTCTGCTTCACCCAGGCAGGGTGTCCCTGGCTCCACGCATGGGTGGAAGGGATTTCCTCCCCTACCTGCCACCCCTGTGCTTGCTGCAGCCCTGAAGTCGATTGCTTTGCCTGGTGGCAGCAGCAAGCCAATCCTTCCCCCAACATATGCAGGGAGCTGGGGATTGTCTGCCCAACCACAGGCAACCTGGATCTCCTGGTCAGCAGCAAGCAGGGGGTGCACGAATTCCCCATGCTTGCTGATTCCTGGCAGACTGGGCTTGTGCTGTGGGGGGGATCCCTGGTTCTCTGCACTTGTGCAGGGAAGGACCAACTCACTGCTCCTACCCGGTAGAGTGAGAGACTCCAGGGATGCAGCAAGCATGGGAGAGGTGGAAAATCCCCTCCATCCATATACAAAGCCAGGGATATTCTGCCTGGATGGAGCAGAGCCCAGGTCTCCCAGAGAGCAGCAAGCGAGGGGGTGGGGATCCCCACCCCTTCTTGCAG